CTGGTGGTCAGTGCAGCCCTGCCCTTGAGCACACAACCCCATTACCTGCCTCTGACCCACACCCCTGCCCTGTCTCTTGCCAAAAGAATGGCAGCACAGGGTAGGGCTGTGGCCAAGGAGAGGTAGATGAGTAATAGCCAAGGAGAACTTGGGCGAATGCTCTAGTTGAAACGGGCCAGCTTCCTAAGCACCTAAATCTCCCATGGCTCAGCCTGCAGACTATCAGCCAACCAGTTCCAGTTCTCACCAAATATATGTGTTCCTCTGGGGAGTCGTGGTGGCGTTGGTCAGGTTCAGCCATCGAAACCGCTTTCGGTACCACAGCCAGATTCAGAGCAGTGTAAGAAAAGATATCGATGTGTGCGTGGAGCAGGGCCAAATGCCTCCAATAAACAGGTTCTGACTTAGAATCATAGAATCATAGAATGGTCTAGGTTGGAAGAGACCCTTGGGATCATCGAGTCCAACCATCTATCCTACTCTACAAAGTCCTCCCCTACACCATGTCCCTCAGCACTGCATCTAAACGGCCCTTAAACACATCCAGGGATGGTGACTCCACCCCCTCCCTGGGCAGCCTGTTCCAATGCCCGACCACTCTTTCGGTGAAAAATTCTTTCCTAATGTTCAATCTAAACCTCCCCTGTTGGAGCTTGATGCTGCCTTGAAGGATTTATCTGCTGGTGACTTCTTGCATGACACAGCCATCAGATCTCATGCTTAAATGCCCCATCAGGAGAAAAGAGCTGGTGAAGGGAGTATGACGGGGATAAAAAGCTACTTTTTATATTACATTGGCACCTGGCACCCCTACCGTAAGCTGCGGAGGCAAACACTGCACTGTGTTCCGAGACAGTCAGGCCATATCCTGATTGACAGAAATGAACAAATAAGGAAAAAAAATAAAATAATATTTGGCTATAAAGAAATGAAGAGTAATCTTGCCTAACAGAAGTTGACTTGTATTGTATGGGGGCATTCTGAAGCCCACGCAGCAAAAGTGGATTGTGACAAATTGCAGGATTTTTTTTGGCGTGGCGTTGTGTGCGTGAAGATGGGAGTTGTAACGGGAGGAAAGGACAAAGAGGCAGTTGATGGCAGGACAGCTATCAAAGGGTGATGTCTATAAAAGCTGACAGTCAGGCTAAGTCACAGAGGGCCTTTTAGAGGTGACTGTAGACTTGTACCTGGCAGTGAGAAATGGAGTGGGTGGGAGGGTGGCTTGTGACACAGAGGGAGGGATGCAAAGGATGGGTGATGTCTGGAACCAGTGATGGTGGCAGAGTGTGTTCAGCAGTGAGGTCCCACATGAGAACCTGGCTCACGAGTTTGGGGCTGCAGACAGAGAAAATGACCGGCTGGTACAGCATCGAAAAGCATAAAGTGGAAGTGAGGTCTGGAAGCTTTAATCATAGACTTGTAGAATGGTTAGAAAAGATCTTGCTTTCCAGCCCCCTGCCCTGGGCAGGGACACCTCCCACCAGACCAGGTTGCTCCAAGCCCCCTCCAACCTGGCCTTGAACCCCTCCAGGGATGGGGCAACCACAGCTTCTCTGGACAGCCTCTTCCAGGCTCTCACCACCCTCACACCAAAGAATTTCTTCCTAATATCTCATTAAATCTCCCTTAATGAAGTGCAAAAGAAGAATCAAGAGTTTGAGAGGAGTTTAGAGCTGGTGGCTTGGTGCTTGTTAGGAGCATTTTCTGCTTAAAATGTCTTTGTCTTTGGAAAATGTGGAATTTGGAAATTCCATTTTAAGAAAGCCAAATTAAGTTCTTGCCATAACATTATTGCTTAGAAATCTGTTTTTAACTGTCTATAAACATCAAGTTTAGCAGCAGATGTCAGCAGCTGGGAAATATCTGCCATGTGCCCCAGAAACTCAAAGGCCATTTGGACCAAGAGACATTTAAGATGTCCCAAGTGAGAGTGAAACCCTGATGAGCTGCCCCGTGGGGCCTTCCTTACAAGGTTTGAGATGTGGCTGGGCATCAAATATGGAAAATATTCCTACTAAAGGATATAGAGCCCACATCCACTATTGCCTTGCGTCTGAAGAGAACAAAGATGGAAAAAAAAATAATAAATAGCACAACTTGAACTGTTTCACTTCCTATTGCTAATGAACCTCTGCCCCGGCAGCTACGACTCATCAGTTTGAGTCTTCAGCACCTTGTTTAGGCTCTACTTCTGCCTGTTGCCGTTGGGTTTTCGGTTTGTTTTTTGTTTTAAAAAGTAAATAATTCGTTTGCAGCAGGGGGTGTTTGTTACTCAGCACAAAGACCGGGGTGCGGGGGGGGGGGGGGCTCCGCC